TGTTTCTGTTAACTGCCACAGGTTTACACCATATGAATGGTATAACCCCCACCCGTGCAACCCAGACTCAGATGTGGTGGAAAACAATTTTACTTTACTAAATAGTTTCTGGTTTGGAGTTGGAGCTCTCATGCAGCAAGGTACACCGGTTACACTTCGTTTTTGCACACGTCCCACAGTCTGCTCAAGGGCTTCTGTGCTGGTAAACTCCACCTCTGTAACTACCACATATACTGTAAAACCTGATCTCAGAAATTAAGAACTACAGGAAAGGAAGAAAACTACATATCGCTGGAACTGGGAGAAGGCAGTGGAGGGAAACCTGTTAAAATCCAGAGTAAGGCTACAGCAGGGAGAAGGAGGGGAAACATATGAGAGAAAGGAAAATAAACAAGAGAGTTTCTGAAGTTGAAATATAAAATAGTAGCATGAGGACTATGAAGTTATTTTTGCTGAAGTTGAGTTTACTGGCATGAGAGGTTTGGCAGCAGGAAAATGTCTTCCCAATTGGGCATTATGCCAGTGGAAATAATAACAGCTTTAGCTACTCTAGAAAAATTATTTTAACAGCCAAACAAAAGGCTGCTCTTTCTTCAGAAGTATTATTAGTTTGTTGGCACTTGCCAAACACTTTGTTTAAAAGCAAAACCAAAACTTTTTTTTTATGGCTTTTCTGCAGATATGAGTCCCACCCTCTTGTAAATGCATCCAGCCTTAGAAGCATTAACTAAACACAGTCACAAGTCCCCGCTGCTGATGTTTTTGGAAACTGCTGACATTAGACTCACTTGACAAGGAAGGGCAGTGAAGCTGACTCAGTGTGGGAAGTCAAGCAGATATGTGTACTGAACACACATGGTTATGGCATGTATGTTCTAAGGTTCCCATTAAATCGCTATTCACCAAAACCAGGGTCCACTGAGAGGGTGAAAATATTTTCTGACAAACATTTCAAGTTGAATCAAAGCTGAACAAAAAACCCACCCGACAACAACAACAAAAAAGGCAATCCAGAGGAAGGTCCAGCAGTACCTCGATATTCAATTCCCAGACATTTAAGTAAGGAATATAAAATCATCTCTACGTTCTTCCAGGTACAGTTTATTCTTCCACTTTTTAACAGACATGAGTAGCAGTAAAAGAAATGTTAGAAGGAGTTTTCCTAGATACAGTAGAGAATAAAGTTAATATTGTAACCAGGATAACACATGCACTTGCTTTTATTGGTGCACCAAGGTATTCACAGGATATAGCGCCTCCTTGTAGAAATGACTTTGAAGGAGGTGGGGGGAGGAAGAGGTGTTCTGTTCTGTTTTTCGAGGTCTGGGATTTACTTCTTCTTCCAATTTATCAGTGAAAAACAGGCTGAGGTTTTACAGTATCAGGCAGGTGTGTGTATATTACTGTGACTGCCTTGTGTGTGAAGGTCCCCCAAGATTTTGTGTTTTAACCTACTGCCTTTTTTGGAGTTTACCATCATCCACAGCAAACTGTGGGATGCAGTGTCTGCTCGTTACCACTACCTTGGGTACATGACAGTCAGCCCCAACCAGACTCTGCTTGTCTTTCAAGAAGCTTAAAAAAAAAAAAGAAAGAAAGAAAAAACATTTGTAAGGCAACACAAATGTTTCCATGTACAAACTTGTGGTGCGTGTGATTGTAAGTGCATCATCATGAACGTGGAGTTTGAACATGAGCTGAATGGTTGTGAAACTCTGCATCTATTGTTATGCTCTTTCTTCTTGACAGCAGCTGCTTGTTATGCTTGATTGGAAGCCACTTGTTTATTAAATTTTAAAATGTGATGATCAGACTTTCTCTTTTCTACAGAGCGTGAGCAAAGTCTGGATCAGGATTGGCTGTCATGTCTGCCATAAAAAGGCACTAGAGAGACTTCAGCAAGTATTGTCTCTGACCCTGAATTTTGCTAGTAACATTTTTATTTAGATGTTATTTCCCCTTTTCTTTCCTTGAAAGTCTCAGATGTGTTATGCATACTTTGAAAGCATCCAAATAGGGCTCATATTTCATCAAATGCAGGCAGAGAAACTGTTATTTCCAGAAAGGCAAGGTATCTATCAGATCCTCCAGTTCAGCCAACTGATAAAGAAGTACCCAGTTAGGAAAAGACTTAGGGTGAAGTCAGTGGAAAAGCAGCATGTACTAATACTTTTTGCTGGAATCAGGGCCTTCAAAATGGTGGACATCATTGACATAATCATGGCACTGATCAAAAGCAATGCTGGGCCCACTTGGCTCAATGGGGGGCAGAGTGTGCTTGGCGCACAGCTCCCAGAAGCAAAGCCATAGCTTAATGCATAATTAATAGACTACAGTGTCTTGAGCTTACCTGAACTGAAGGTGTTCTGCCTCTTTTTCACAACAACTTTTTGCTAAAGGAAAAAGGTTTGGAGGTTTGGAACCTCACCCCACAAATTCAGTAAGGGGGCTTCTCCAGCTACTCTAAGGTACGGCTGTAAGCCTGCACTGGCAGATTTCATGCTGGCTTATTAAGATTTCTGCCACGTAGCTGGCTATTATGCGTTAGTTGGCTGCATACATCAGAGTTAGGCATTGCATCAATGTCCAAGCACAGAATTTATATTCCTATAGCTATCTAGGCTTACAGAAAATAGTAATTTCAGGAAGACTTGAATCAGCAGTCTTAGAAGCCAGCTTTTGTAGGTCAATGTCAGCTTAAAAATAAATATACACACACTTTTCCTGAAAACAACAATAAAAACAACGAAAAGGTGTCATTGTTTTAAAAATAAACTAATCTGAAAAGCAAGAAAAGCACAACAGACCATAAGCATAAATCCAGACAGAGCTCGAGCTCTTGAAATGGGTAGATTCAGAGGCTAAAAATTTAGGTAAAAGTCTTTGCTGTTAGACCGCTGGCCTAATTTGAAGTCAGCACAGCAGTATGGCTGCACACGGCTGCACAGGCAGAGCATCTGCTCTCACAGTTTGGAAACTCTGTTAGCCTACTCCAAGCCTTGGGCTATGCTTAGCTCTGACCTTTAAGAGACATGTCTATATATTTATAAAAAGCTAAAGTAAATCTGTTTTCTTGTTGTTGGAAAGTTCTTACCCTTTCATTCTTTGCCCCAGAAGTCATATTTAGAGTTTTTGCAAAGTCTTAAAACATTATCTGTAACATTTTTAAACTTCTTACATGTTTAAATTTCTTACAGAAATCATTAAATAGCTGAGCAGAGATAATATGTCAGCATATTTTTCCAGTAACAAAAATATATTTATTAAATAAAAAGATTTGCATGCTAAGATCTCCATTTACAAGCACTTAAGTACTTTTTAAAGTCCATCTTTCATCAGCAAAATAATTATGCAAATGCTTAACTTTGAAGTAAAAAGCTTTCAAGTGCATGTCTAAGTGCTTTGCTAAACCAGGTCCTTAAATCCCACATAATGAAATAAGTTCACAGTTCATTTGGGGTGGCCCCTAGATAAGTCGGTATAAAACTTGCATCAGAGTATTTAGAAATAAAGGCTTAAATTCAATTCTTCTGAGCTATTTACAAGCCATTTTTTAATGTGCTTAATACCTGAGCTTGGGTCATGCTATTTGTGGGGGTGTTATGACTATGGCAGATCACCTTGAGGTTTGTCAGGCAGATCTGCCTTTCAGCAGTAATTAGTGTGTTAAATGTACTGTTCAAAATGTACTGTTCAAAACATAACATAGCCCTGTAGAGATCCAAAGGATGCCTCCTTTTACTTTCTGAATTTTAAAAATGTGAACCATGTGTTTGTAATAAGACGTGTTCTGGGCTTTGACCTCAGGCTCACACTATCCTATTAAATTCACTGGAACCATATTGATTGCCCTGCTTCTGCTTAGGTGTGTGGATAAAACACAGAGGGCAGGTTTCTCTTGTAAGGCATTTCTTCTAGGCTGCTTGCAGGTGGAATAGTATTCTGCTAAAGATCTGTTGTTAAAAAACCGATTATAGTACCTGTAAAAAGGAATTAAGGAAAAGATAATGGCTAGTATAGCTTGCTAGGGATGTAAGAGGTTAATGTCCCAAACAGGATAAGCTCAGAGATGTAAATGGGTTGAGAACCAAGGATAATTCCATTTGTCATGTATCATGGCATACATCCCCTTCATAGTGTGTTACCATTAAAAACATTTGCTGTGCATCTGTGAGATTATTGTTTAAATCATTTTCTTATACTATGGCTCATAAAAGCATTCTGTGCCTAAAAACAGTCTATGGCATTAGAAACAGGCATCTTTCAGCATCATTTTAATATAATCTTTTTGATGATATTGTAACAGGATCAGAGCTGATGCCCAAAGCTCTTTCCACAAGAATAGTTGGAGGAATATGGTGGTTTTTCACCTTAATCATAATCTCATCCTATACTGCCAACTTGGCTGCCTTCCTGACCGTAGAGAGGATGGAATCCCCCATCGACTCAGCGGACGATTTGGCAAAGCAAACCAAGATAGAGTATGGGGCTGTTAGAGATGGATCAACAATGACCTTCTTCAAGGTAAGACAGTGCCAGCCAGTTTTGCGCTCTTGGGCTCGTGGCCTTCTAGTGATCAGTCACGAGACAGAATAACAACAGTTGAAAGGATGAGTGTAGTAGGTAAATAAATCATTTGCCCAAATCTGTAGAGGGTCCTTAGGGAGAATTAGCGTAAAAGATGGGAGATTTTCCCCCAAGATGGATTGGAAAAATAATCTGGTGCTGCGCTGCTGAAGCCCGTGGAAGCTGCGTTCCCTTAATGTGAAGGGCGTCAGAAGCAGCTGCAGTCTGGACTTTGAGAGCGCACCACCTACACAAGGGGATTTAAGTGCTCCAAATCAGTGCAGACCTGTGTTAATTCAGGCTCTAGTGCAAAGATCCCCTCAGAGTGAGAATTAGCCTGTTATTGCCTTTGCTGAAAGGGGAAAAACCCATGTTTTTGACAGGCGAATCTGACAGGCGAGGCATGGATCTGGGGACGTTCTTCTCCAGGTTGTTTCTCAGAGCAGGATCTTAGCTTCTGACAAGCAATTGGCTAAGATCACCTCTGAAGGTCATGTTTACACTGGAAAAATACTGCAGGCAGTCAAAATGCAGTTTTGTTTGTCCTTTTTTAAAAATGTTATATGATCAAAATTGTAAACGTTGAAGTATTAATATACAGGCCACACACACATAAACGAATCTGTAAGCAAAAGAGCATTTTCTGTGGCTAATTGCTTTTTAAATAACTGCATTCTTTTTTACACTATTAGTATTACTTACACACAGAATGCGTTACTCTCATAAAACATCAATGCAAAAGCCAACAAGCTACAAATATAGGATATATGCACAAAAATCCTGTGACAATTAGAATTAATTAGCAGCTTCATTGGTAGTCTCAGCAGGGAAGTTAAGCACTGAATGGACTGGTATCGTGCTTTTCGCTGTAGCGTCTAACTATTGTGCTTATAGACAGCCAGATAACGCAATGCCTTTGAAGAGGATGAAGCACCCTGGTGAAGCAATATGTGGGGCGAAACAGCACTCCTGCATGTGTGTGCAGGAGACAGCAATTTCACTGCTCAATGCTGACAGTTGGACACCTCAAACAGGTTCTTAAGAAAACATGTGGGAGCCCCAGGAGCTGCTGCTCCTGCCTGAGCCCCCCTGCCTTATGCTAGCCACCGGCCCTTGTGTTTTCACAGGAAGCAATGTGCTTCCACACACAAAAAAGATCTTGGCTTGAGTATTTGGGTCATCTCTCGCAATTAGTAATGTTTGTCAAGGACTTTTCAGTAATTTAATAAAGCTGATAGTGGGCTATCCCTGATGGAGCTGTCAAGGGTGAGCTTCCCATGTAATGGCTCTCCTGTGGCTGAAGAGAAATGTTTCTGTGCTGAAAGAATAGCACAAACTACAGGGTTTTTCAGAGCCTCATTAGAGTCAGTTTGTGAGATGATGAGACGACATTTCCATTACGCTATGCTAGAAACCTCTCTTAAGATATTCCTAGAAACGGTATGAAGCAAGTACAGTATTTTAATAAGGAATACCTAATGGAGTAGGAAGCGGTCTGTGCTGCCTTCTGACAGACCTTCGGAAATTCCCTTGGTCTAATATTTCTTCGTTGCCAAAGATCGTCACCATGATTAGTATGCTGAAGGCCAATTCTGTAATAAAAAGTAATCTTCAAAATCTGTTGTTTCCATGATTTGCCAGAGGAAATAACTTCATAATTTCAGCATGAGGAGGTCAGAACAAATTTCTAAAGCTGTTTCCAGCTTTGCACTGATTTTTTTTGCACCATTAATACTTAGAAGGTAAAATTTGTAAGCTTAAAAGAATGTGAGCCTGAGCCTCTCAATAATAATAATAATAATAATAATTCAGATAAATTGTTAAATACTTGTATACTATATACACTAGCTTACTTGTGCCTGAAATACCTGTGTACACAAACCTAACAGAAAAGACCCTAGTTTTTGTACAGGATGGAGACAGATTAGCTGGCAGAGTGAAGGTGACATAGTGAAAGAAGCATGAAAAATACAATTTTTCACACTTGTAAACCAGTGAGACACACACAGTGCTATATAAAAAGTGTTATTATTTATATTACAAAAGCTCTTCAAGGTCCTCAAGATTGGAATTTCTTTATGCTGGTTATCATACCCCCCAAAACTTCAAAGAAATCACAGAGTAGATCTCTGAACAATAAATACAATAGAAGAATAGAAAATGGAGACTATGTATTCTCTGAGGTCATAAATTTGCCTCCTTTGTATCCAGAAAGCACTATATGTACTTCCTAAGCTAAGTAATCGCATGCGCACGTACACACACACACGCACAGAGCACAGACCACTAAAAGAACTGGAGGGTGTAAAACCAAACACTTAGCATTAGGAAATGGCAGGAGTAAGGGTTTCTGCGTAACCCTGATCCAGTTCCCTTGCTGCACGTGAGTTATAATACAGTTTAGTCCAAAACAGGCTCGCTATAACAGCTCTAGAGAAGAGGCCTGAAATAAGTTCGATACTTTGCGGGGAGACGCGAAGCGCTGACTTTGCACAGCCAGTCGACTTTGCATGGCCAGTTTCCGTAAGGCTATCCCAAACCAAAACAGACTCCAGGAGCATCCCCCCTACCGAGGCATCGCCCCTCATGGTCCTGCCCCTGGGATTAACGGGCTGGAGAAGCCAAGCTGGGGGAAAGGTGCTTTTCCTACTGCCACCACTGGCTGCTGTGGCGGGGGAGTACGAGCATAGTCCTGCCTCCTGGGAGGGCTGATGTGATGGGGAATGAGAAAGGAAAAGGAGGAATCAGTGAGGCCAGGTGTAACAGCAGTGAAAATGTCCTGCGGGCGTTTAGTGCGGGCTTGGGCTGCACAGAAGAAAGGTCATTTTTTAAAGTGCTTCCCATGTTTCAAGATTTGATTTATCTGAGAGCTGCTCCTAGTATTTAAAACAAGAAATGCCAAGAGAAACAACAGACTCTTTCAGACCAATGCTTTTTTAAAGCAGAACCACTATATTCTGGGAGTTCCTCACTACGGAGGAGAGAACAATGACAGAGTGCCTGTCAGGTAGTACGTGAGTTGCAGAGACCAAATAGCTCTAATTTTCAGGTCTATGAGACACACATGGCAAAAGGATTTATGAAGACATCAAGTGCAGAAAGATCCGAGCAAGAAGCAAACTCTGCAGAGCTTCGGGCTGGCTCTTTGTTCTTAAAATAGCAAAAGGAAGCCCCTGAAAGATAATATTACAGAGGTACCTATTGGATGGCATGCATGTTAAGAACCATATGAAAAAGCAAGACATTTACACCACTTTTCTCCAAATGCTACTTGCATTTATTCAGGTTCACATCACTCTTTTTATTTCATCTCATTTATAATGCATATACTAACTGCTATATTTTTTCACTGATTTTAAATGTCTTAGCGCTAGTAACCATATTGTGCATTGTGTCCCCAGGAAAAAAAAAACTATTTTTGAAAAGGTAATATTTTCCGGAAAGGTTCTACAGTGACTACGCCTTCTAGCCAGATAGCAGTGGGAATAAACACAAAAGCAACTGAAAGTATTTGTGAAAGAAAATGGAGTCATGACTTTGAGGGAAGCTCAGAGTCGGCCTCCTCCCTATGTACAAATCCCAGTGTTGCTGACCTGGCAGATATGGCTATAGCAGATGAAAACACCCTGAAAACAGGACGTGGGCAGTGAAGGAGCCCTCCAATGAGGTGATGGGCTTCCAGGCAGGCAAGCCAGCAGGACGTCAGGCAGCATTTGCCATGTATGTGCAAATTTGGGAAGAATCTAACTAAAGGCAAGAGCCTTCACATCCACAGATTCTGACACATACATATTTTTCCAGATTGCTGGCCAGCTCTGTTTCCAATATGCTTATAAATCTGCCATTGCTTTCTCGCCCCTCTGTGATAATTGATCTTAATCTCATATTGCAATTCTTGCCAGATCCTGCCTTCTGATGTGCAGACACATTTCCACTGAAATCAATGAGGATCAAAAGGTCAGAATTTAGCGTAACATCTATCCTGAAAAAATGGGAGTTGGCAAGTCAAGAAGCCGAGACCTTTCTTTCAAACTTATCTGAATAAGGAACACAATATCACATTCAATCTACTGCATAAACGTATCATCTATGAAAAAAAAAAATCCAGGCTGAGCAGTAAAAATGACTCCTACTAGTAAAAAAAGGCTTAACCAGCCTAAGAATTTAGTGGTATCCTGTGGCTTAACAAACTTTGGTGAAATTTAGAAGAAATTCACAGATATCAAATTCACAGGTAAAGCATATTAACATTCAGCGCTCAAAGAACCAGAAAATCAGTTTCTCAGAGGAATCCCACAGAGACCAGTGTTTAATAAACACATATGGTCTCCACACAGTGAGCCTAAAATTGGCTATGATGCCTATAAACCAAAGATAGGCCTGTGGAGGAAGTGAGATTATACTCTCCCAGACCTGGGGCAACATAAGTAGGTGGAGGGCCAGGGACTCATAGTTACACCAGAAAGTCAGTTTGTTTATGCTTGGCTCATGCCAGGCTGCAGCCAGAGTAGGTCAGTAACAGTGGTCTATGCAGCCTTGATGAAATCGTTCCTATTAACAATTTCCAATGGTTCAACTGTCTGTAGGTCTAACTTGATATTTAATTTAGAAGTAATACTGTGTGTTTAATGTCATTTGACAGCATACAAGGAAGAAAGAGGTTTAATTATATAGGCACTGTGCGAATGCTTGGCGTGTGTGTAGTCTGCAGATACTTCAGAAAGCCCCTGAAGAGGTTCAATTTTTCTTTTCATATCCCCCGACAAAGGCAGAGGTGTGAGTGAGGCAGCACCCGCAGCTGCCTTTCCCTGCAAGGAGCCTGGCACCCTCGGGGGCACCTACAGCACAGGGAAGGAAAGGGGCAGGAAGGGAAGTTCAAAGCTCTGTGGAGCTGGCTGGGGTTTCTAGCATCCCTCTTCCCCTGTGCAGCTAGCTGGCCGTTAGCACAGGCCACATGCACGCACCTGCTGAAGTCAGTTCCAAAATCCCCCTTAACTTCAGTGGAAGAAGGATTAGGTCCTTAAACCCAATTGCAGCAGAAAGCTGAAAGCAGAAGTTTACTAAGAAGCCACTTTGGCTTTCTTTCTCAAGCTTTATCCTTGAAGTACATGACTTCTAGGCAAATGATATCAATACAAAAGAGCCAGTACTTTGTTCATCATCAGGCTTTTGGAGTAGCACATTTGCCCTGAAAGACAGAAACATTGCTTCTGAGTGCAACAGCATTCAGCTGCACTAATTTAGCTGGGCTATGTGTAGTCATTTGCTGTAATCCATGTAACAGCATTAGTCCAAAAAACTTCAAAGCACTTCACAGTCATGCCAGTAATGAAGTTCCTGGCACCACAGAGAATGCAGGAAAAGACAGTCCTCAGCATAAAGCACAGTAAGAGAGAAATGCTGTGGGAAGGAAAACCCTTCTACTGATTCCCTTCCATTCAAGAGATGCTGTTGGCACCATTCACAACTAAAGGCTGAGCAATATTTTACGAGTGTGAGCTGGGCACTGGAGTGATTCTATGTCCTCATTTTCCCTCCTTAGAAATCCAAAATATCAACATACGAGAAGATGTGGGCGTTCATGAGCAGCCGGCAGCAGACAGCGCTGGTGAAGAACAACGACGAGGGAATCCAGCGTGTGCTCACGACGGACTATGCGCTGCTAATGGAGTCGACCAGCATAGAGTACGTGACTCAGAGAAACTGCAATCTCACTCAGATCGGGGGGCTGATCGATTCGAAAGGCTACGGCGTGGGAACCCCTATTGGTAAGATGCTTTCCAGCACAGGTATTACTGAGCACACCAAGCAATGTCCTCCTCAGAAGAGTAGATGGCCATTTGAATCATTTCTTAGTCTTTCAGGCACCTTTCTTATCAAAACAGACCCTAGGAGCCTCAGTTTAGGCAAAACATCTCCTCTTGCCTCCACTCAGTCAGACCCCTTCATCTGCAAGCAATCTCTGTAAGCAAGAGGGAGTATTACAGCGCAGACTATATCTGCAGAAAGAAGTCAAGTGACTTGCTTGCCTCCTGGAGCATGCCCATCATAACGAACCGGGTATCCTTCTGTGCTACTCAAGGTGCAAGGTCTTCTACTGAAATTCAGTTGAGTTTGAGAAGTTAGGTAGTGTCTCTGGGAAAACGGAAGTGAGCAGAATAAATATTATGACCAACGTATGAATCTTGAAGAAAGTTGCATGAAAGGAGACCAATTTCTGCCATACTTAAAAACTCTAGAGCAACGCATGTGTTGCACAGGAGAAGTAATTGCAAGGTTCTGCGCCTGCATCAGCATTTTCAATGTTTTGGGCTAAGAAGACTCTTAAGACTCGCAGCCACTGCGAACTGTTTCCAGTAGACCTTTTTTAGCATAGCCAGTGTCCTTTTCAACATTTTGCTCATCATAGACAATTAGAATGTCTTTTTTTTTTTTTTTTTGCATTGAAGATGGATTCTCCTGAATAATCAGTACTGGGTAGCCAGAGCTTTTTCTTGTTTAATATACTTCTCCATACTGCTCACATAAGCCCTTACTATGCCACGACCTTCTCTCAGTTAATAACTATGGAATTCTTCTGGCTTTACGGGAATTAACTAGGGTTTACACAGATATAACAGACAAAGTATCTGGTCAATCATTTGCTTTGTAGACCAGGTCTAAATAAGGGAGGAAGAACACTGCTGCACCTTGAACTGTGATTCTTTATGCTACTGAGTACCTTAGACACACTGTCATACAGATATTATTTTAAGTATATTTTTTCACTGCCTGTGTGCGAACAGCCTTCTCTCCCTGAGGAAAATGATACAAAAGCTAAAATCTCCCCATATAAAACAAGTGCATGGCAAGAGTTTCAATGCAGTTATAAAGCTGCCATACTTTGAACCGAGAACAATGAAGAAATAATTGGAACAGATGGTAATCCTCACAGAGAGTGCATCCATTGGAAATACAGCTGTGAGATATATTTATAAGATGTTTCTTGTATGATAAATGTGCCTTAATTTTTTTTCTTAAGGAAAACCAGCTAAATTCATGGAAATAGATATCGCCGAGCACTTTGGAATAAATCATTTCAGTGACATCAGGCATCTTAAATTCTTTCAAGATTGATTCCATAAGCAAGATAAGCTACCGAGATCCTGCCACTATTCACATGGACCCCAAAGGCTCTGTTGTTTCCCAGTAGTATTCAAAACTGTTGCAGCACAGAATCTGTATGGAAAAAAAAGACTTGTCTGAGATCCTTAAAACCAAAGTTTCAGCAAGCCTTTAACTGGTCTGCACTTGTTCCTTCAGGAGAAAGCACAACCCCCCTGACTATGATTTGCAGCAGCAAAAGAATGCCTTGCACTCCAAAATTTCCAGTGAATGAGCTGAATACAATCATGACTTAGCTCCCAGAAAAGCAGGAAAGAGATTTTTAAAAAGTCCTTCTACGAATGCAGAAAACTTATCACTTTATTTATCTGAGCAGCCTGTGCAAGTTAAAAATTGCAGATATAGGCTGACTCTCTTCCTCCTTCATTGTGCTGTGGCAGGAGGAAAAGGGTTTAGGTGTTTCAACAAACGTTATGTTTATTATTTATGTTTGTTATTGAGCCCATGAGTCACAGAATGGAAAGTTTTGCACTAGATTATTGGCAAAGAACATACTGTTGAAAAATCTGCAGTGATGCTTGATCATGTGCTTGCTGCACTCTGAAAGTACTGCTGTACAAGAGGCACCTCTAAGTAAAATCTATGCAAAATGTCACCCTGGGAGGAATCCAGTTGAAGAAAGCAACATTATTATAGGTATCAAGACAGGTATTAATTCTACTATCACTGCCAGTGCTGATGCAAGTAATTGTAAAACTAAAGCTATTACCATTTAGTTGGGAGGCTGCTAGGAAAGTGGATAGATGTATTTCTTGGCCTGAGAGTAGGCTGTTAATAGCTCAGAGGTCATAAATGATATGTGGAATATTCAAAGAGGTGTTGAGATGGATTTGTGTGCAGCTTTAGTGCTCACCAATAAAACATCGCTAATCCAGGCACGCTTGACAAATTTTAAAAGTACGCATGGAAATATAGATGTACCTGTTACCCTCAAGATGAATTGCGATAATCCTGCCGGCAACATAAACCTCACAAGAAAGAATGAACATCCCCACAAATCCTGATTCGTGACTCAGGCTGCTTCACTTTGCTTAACAGCTATGTTCTTTCAGACAAGGCAGAATAGATGGGTCCTACAGTCTAACAAACTCCAGCTATCAGGAGAACAAACCTCTCCTATGGTGGAAACAATTCTGCTTTTTCTTCTAGGAGCTGTTTTCAGTGGTAAATAATTCACTTTTCTGGGTAAAGACAATTTTGAAAGTCTTTCTGTTTTGTTTTCTATTGTGTTTGTTTTTGCTTCTTTAATAGCCTCTATAGAAATCATCTATTCTTACAGCAGACATAGTTTCCTTTCCAAGCTGGCTACCTAAAGCAGTGGCTGCTGATTGCTGGCTTCCCAGATGGACTTTGTATAATCTGACACATGTCTCTTGGCATCTGTGGTCACAGCATGTCCTAGCGCTGGCAGTAGGATACACTGAAAAATATCTGCGTGTTGGCGCGACAAATGAAGAACGGGAATGTTTTCCACATTAATTCTCCTCAGACAATGCTGCAGGCTAAGGAAATAGAATACAAAAAGGGGGACTTGTATTCATGGTACAATTATTTTTAATAGTGGCCTGCACAGCCACGTAAGAAAGAAAAATGAAGCCATGAGGCCAAAATTCCAAGGATCTTTAGATGCATAAAGATACAAAAGTGGTTCCTAGTGAGATTTTTCCTAAGTGTCCACATCTGCGTGCACCAAGCTATCACCGAAGTTCTGGCCCACTTTCTGCCTTAAAGCTTATTACTGTGATCAGACTGAGAATTGTAACCGCTTTAATTTGCAACAAAATGTGACTTTGTGGAATTGCAGCTTAAGAAAGTGGTCTGCTTAATGTGCTAAAGTAGAGGAAGGTAGTTAGCTATGCAGAGAAAGGATTGGCCACAGTGAGGGCATTGCAGCCTGGATTTTAAAAGCTTCCAACCACAGGAGGCCCAGCATGGCAGGGTTTGGGGGCGTATACATGCGCCTAGTGCCACACAGCCTTTCTTGTAATCCTCTCCTGCTTGCTATCCTGAAATCCTTGCCCCATAAATAAAAGTCCCTCTCACACTGCCAGAAACAACTTCTCCTTGGCAATTATGATTAATAACAGGATTGCTAACTTCAGCTTCCAGCACCATGGCAAAAGCTAATTGGTAGCAATTTCCTTTAGCCATGCACTGCTCCAGAAGCAGGGCAAGGGGTAAAGCCTCTGCCCTGTTCCCCTTTAGGGCTTCAGCCTTGTGCTTCTGCAAAAAGCTGTTGGCTGAACTGAATCATAGGCAGCAGAAATTTTGGAAGAGGGACAGCCAGAACAGAGTGCATGAGAGGCAAACCTCAACGGATTGAACGGCCCAGCCTTGACCCCACTGTTGGCCAGATACTGCACAGGCCCATTAATGCTGTTCAGCCTGAAGATGTGTCATTCAGCAAGCTGTTGGTCTGAAAATAAAGAAATAGCAAGAAATAGTTGCTATTTTCAGCTTGCAGTGCCAATGTTATCGCAAGGCACACTTAAAAAGACCAGGCCAGCTTGTGTACTTACAAGCTCTAAGGTAGCCAAAGTGGAGTAGTGGGCATATGCAGGTATAAATGAGAAGAGAATTAATTTGACTCACTGTGGGCATTCTTAGACAACTACTCATTTCACATGCAGTAGGAAAAATAGGCAGATGTTGCAGTAAATAGGGGAAATGCAAAGCTGACGGTCTCAAAGGATGCTCAAAGCAATATTCAAATATAATATGGAAGAATTATTTAGCGAGAAAACCTACTGCCAAGGCTTAAATAAACCTCAGTAGGAGACCCTAGAAATTATAATGAATTCCCAAACAAATAACCACACCAAAGGAGCCTTCTGCCTTCCAGTCCCCAGGGCAGATACCAGCAGATCTCTTCCCCCTTTCCAGCTGAAGAGAAACCAAGGCTTTCTAGCAGGAATAATCAGTCTTGTAATAAGGGCGCACTTCTGCTTCAGATGTCAGCAGCATGTTCCCTCCCTGCGTTCAATGACACTAAAAGGTCTCACTCTTGCCTTGCAGGCTCTCCGTACAGAGACAAAATCACCATTGCCATTCTTCAGCTCCAGGAGGAGGGAAAGCTGCACATGATGAAGGAAAAGTGGTGGCGAGGCAACGGCTGCCCTGAGGAGGACAGCAAAGAGGCCAGCGCTCTCGGGGTGGAGAATATTGGGGGCATCTTTATAGTGCTTGCTGCAGGGCTTGTTCTTTCAGTGTTTGTAGCCATTGGTGAATTTATATATAAATCAAGGAAAAACAGCGATATCGAGCAGGTGAGTCATCCCTTTCCAGCTTGCTTATTTTTCTGGGAGGCTGAGGTCTGTGGATGTGGAGGTGACTGCATTATAAGTCTCTTTGCTGGACTGAAGATTTTGTATTGCTGAACTCTCACCATGCGTCCCTGGCACTAAAGACAAATAATTTATTAATAAGAATAGGGAAGTGCCTCATCCACAATCCAATTAGTGCTGTTTAGTATGGCAGTGCAGAACAAGATCAATTAATTTCTCAAACAGTTTCTGCTTGATCTTTATGACTTCAAGTATAAATTGCCTTGGAAGGGAATAAACATTGAACTGGATTTCTCTATGTGGTTTTAGAATCAACCCTTTGAATAAGAGCAGGATTATATTTCTAAATTCCCAAGTGTATTTTTTTTCTTGCTCTAGAAAGCATTTCTTTCACAGTCAGGTGTTTACACACGCTGTACTGACGCGTGCACTTCAAAGCAGAGAGACCTGCTGAAAAGTGATGGATGCCACAGTAGAATAAGATTATGGACCCAAAGACATTCTGAATATAACTCCACTGAAGCGTAATCAACAATTTAAAAGGCCAGAGGGAAAACAAAGAAAACACTGTATATAAATCATGCCCTGAATATCACAGCACTTTGTGAAATAGGCAGTCATTAAAATAGAGTGTAAACACCAGTTTACTGAACCACCGAATACACTGGAAAGGAAACAAGGCATGAGCAGTAACGCTGAGTCTGTTCATGAAGTTATCTTCAGACCCTCTTACTCTGGTTGCCCTCCCTGGTACTGTTTTGATTCTGGCCATGTCCTGGACACTGATCTGGCCCTGTTTGGCTCAACTACTATTTCTGCTCAGATCTTGTTCACTTTAATGGGACTTGTCGCAGAGACAAGCATCCCATTTGTGCACTATGCATTGCAGGATCAGTGGCCCCTGAGGCAATCGCCAAGAGGTGGGTTTGTATCACCTGACTTCAGGTTTCTAGTTATCAAGCATCTACTTCTAAGCAAGTTGTTTAAGCTTGTTTTGCGGGAAAGGCATTTTTTCAGTGGGCAATTCACTCTAACCATCCAAGGCAGAGTCCTCCAAGGCTGATGACATAAATGCCAGAAATGACTGGGGAAAAAAATAACTTCAAAAAGGTGATGGGGATGAGTGGAAGGAGGAGGAGAGTATTTTGAACTTGATCTCAGAGACGCAGTTCACACCACACACAGTGGTGGTGCTGGCATTTGAGTAAAAGCAGGCAGCCAGGGCTGTAGGGCTTGGGAGGACAACATCTTGCTTTTAAAGTTCTCCTTTTGGATGGGAGGAAGCATCCTGCAGTAGTGGCCTTGTTGCTGGGAGGGGCTCACAGTAAATGCAGACTGCACACCCGCTGTTCAGACCACTCAGAGGAAGTGCGGTGACTCCTACCCAGCATCTCCCTTTTCTGAATGGCACCTGCTGTTATTTCGGGAGCCCCGGGGTGTTGATGAGAGCTAATGCCAGGGTCAGTGAACTTGGCACTTGCCGTACACTGCAGAAGCCAGCTCTTGACTGTGCCGACCCCTCCACATGGGCAGGCAGGCGCCGGTGCTGGAGTGAACCCTCATTACAGTCAGTGGCACGGTGTACGAACAACAGGCACAGCTCATGTGGAGCAATTCCGCAGGCCTTATTAGTCACGGTGTCCCTGCTTTGGATTAAGTCAGAGAGAAATGATGAGTGTATTTTGCATGTATTGCTAGCTTTCTGTTTAGTACTTTAACCCTACAGAACAGTTTTAGCACTAAATGCATAAGGAATGTATCAAGAGCTTGGTTTTATTCATGACTCAGGAGTTTTTTTATTCAAATAAGTTTTGGAGACCTAATGCAGTTAATCAAAATCTTTAGTATAAATGCTGACAGAACAGAAGGTTTTAGGAAGTCTTCAGGAGACTGGGAAGGGCAATGTATTTCTGAAACTAACAGGAAAATAGCCCTAAAGTTTTATATCATGAAGAGACTGTTAATTTACTTAGCAAGACATTGCGGGAACAATATAGTAGTATTCAGGGATACATATATACATATATAGTTTCTGTATATGTTGACACGCTACTACTGTGTCACAGTGATGTTGATTATAGGCTCTCATCATAATGAAAATCTGTAATGTGGCAACGTCATATAGCGCTATCATCAAATTTTCATGTGGAAGTGATTGTACAGAAGGGAGTCATACTGGTGATGCCAGTTATGACTTCCTGATTCCATTCAGATTGTTTTATTTTTATTCAGGCGGTATAAGAAGCTTAGATAGAAAATGCTATACAGTGTATATTATCATGAAGCTAATTTGAAACCTGAGTTGAATACAATCTATGACTTTTACGTTTCCATAAACAGAATCTCTTTTGATTTAAATAGCTTTTGAATCTCATTCTCATGTGTGTTTGTTTTTAATTCTTAATATTTAATTTTAATTTAATTTTAATTCTTTAATTTTTACTTCTTTCATTTATTTATTTTCTCCATTTTTTTTTCTTGCATGCAAGGCCTTTTGTTTCTTTTACGGACTACAGTGTAAGCAAACCCATCCGTCCAACTCCACCTCTGGCACCACCTTATCTACGGAGTTAGACTGTGGCAAGTTAATCCGAGAGGAGCGAGGGATTCGAACACAGCCCTCAATTCACACTGTATAGTCAGGAAAGAAAAAGGTGTGTCCAATGGGAAGCATTAAACTTAAACAGTGTACCTAATAAGAAAAGTTGTACTTACCAACACATAGTTAATGACTTCAAAAGGCCTCTTGCTTCAGCAGCAAATAAGCTTATCTAATATAGATTGTTAAAGTCCCGGAAATCTGGGCAGTTTAGATGCATATCACAGAAAATAATTACACCTACAGTGAAGAGTGAGTGTAATAGACTGTAATAGATTTTAAGATTTGTGACAGTCTATGTACAATTGTCATCTTATCGTATCATGGGGTAATTCAGCCTTTTCAGGTAAGAAAAATTATTTATCTCCTTTTCATCTTCAACCAAACCTGAGCAAAACGACAGCAGTCTTCTTATTACTAAAAGCATGGAGAAGTATTTTCCTTGGTCTCTGCAAAAGCATCCAGCAGCTGGGCCAGGCAGTTCTTTATAAACCTTAGAAAATAACCTGCAGGGCTCCATTAACTTTCTGAACCTCTGTTATAAACAGCCAGAGATTTTTAGCTGGCATATCTTATTCCCAGTGTCAATATTTAATGAATTTTAATTCATCCATTTAAAATTCATTAGACAAAGCCTCCAAGTAACTATCATACCACAAAATCATATCTATCAATTAAATTTTATGCCATGTAACCATTAACATTTAAGAACCTATTCAAGAAAAGCCCCCTCAGGCACCCCCCCACTGTGTACTCTACCTTTCACAACATAACTCCATAGACTAGGCTTGAGCAATTTTGGATGTTCACTGTTAAAAGGCTGTCTAACATAGAAGACTCCTTTATGAGATAACTGCCAGTAAAAATCAGGATATCAGTTTATATTGAACAGTAAAGCTTTGGAATTGTTGTGCATATTAAAACACATGAGGACGCTTTTGTGTGGGAAGTCAGTATAGGATATTTCTTATATCCTGGAAGGATATTGGTTTGATTTACTCTAGTCCTCAGCTGGTCTGGGGACTGCCAGGGCAGGAAACAACTGATTGGATCCATTGTTGCAGCTGGAAAATATATGACTGTAATTAGAGAGGCACAAAATGTATACAAATGCCTGCTCACAGGATGTCATGAAGCATGGCAAACAGCCCTGTTTTCAAAAACTGATCACCTTTTACCTGTTGTATTTCATTGCATCCCAGCCTACCTCCAATTTCACCGATTCATTTCCCACCCTTCACACCTACTTTATGTTTTCTCGCACACTGCAGTTCCTCCTCGTGACACAAGTTAATGATCTGTTTTATTGAGGAGCCATTTCTGGACTCTACTGCAATTAGAAAACTCGTTCTAGTGGATGCCTCCACACTCAGTTGCTGAAGTGCTCCAGCAAGGCTCTGGTCTTCTCTTGAATTGTTTTATTTGTACCTGTCTCCTGAAAAAAGTCAGTAGCATCTTTCACATACAGTGACCTATGTTTTCCCTCTATTTATTTTACAATTTTTGGTCAATGTCATTTAGGCCAGCAGTAATCTCAGCAGCTTTGTAGGCTTAAGTATTTTTTGTGACTAAGATGTACCGCTCACAGCTGGGCTATATCAATTCTTCTCTGCTGATGTTCATCTGTGTACATAAGTGTTTATGTCTCACTCCAGACACTGCACGAAATTGTCTTGCTCAAAATGGAATTTTAGCTTGTTTCAATAGGGCCTTGAAAGCTTTGATGCTTTATGAAATGAGACTTCTTAACAACAAAGACCTGAATTAGATCTTCTCTCTCGCTGATTTAAGAAAGCGCTTTTGTCTGCAGTTTCCCAGTTGAAGAAACTTAAGGCTAATTAAAGCCATCTTCTCTGAGCTCTCAGAGGAGAAGGAAAATTACTAATGTGCTTATCTTCATCATTGTTCTACTCAAGAAATCCTCTGGGTCACAGCTTCTACCAGTTTCCTAATCACTGTTTAGATGAACACAGAATCCAGAAAGTTTCTGTCACTTTTTAGACAAACATTTTAACTCCTGTCACTTTTTGGATAACCGTTTTCAGATCTGTTAGGGAAATAGTCACATTCTTGGTGACAGTGATCTTTCCTTCATGCCTAACTATCCCCAAAGACAACATCACAGGCTGCAGCTTGCCTATGGGAATTACAAAGCAGCTCCTCTTTTCCCTAGTGCAACATCATACCTAGCTACAAAAAGGTTTATTAAAAAGTCTAATTTGCTACTTAGCAGTTAGGCAGTGCTGCCCAGAGAAGGTAGGTGCCTTCAGGTTAACGGTGAGGCTAGGGAAAGGCATGGCCCTCAGCATCTCCTGTGAAATGCATGGCACCGGCAGGCGCCTCTAGTGCACAGATGTTACAGGCTTTAGGAAGAAATGTAAAA